GTATGAAGCGGCTAACGGGATCGGGTGGACAGGCTCGCTGACTTGGTTGATGCATGTCATCGTATCTCAATTGCGTGGATCGATGCTCATGATGTCAATTACTGGGTTGTCTGGTCCAGACTCGATTATTTACAGACCGCCGTCATATAGCTGGAATATTGCTGAGAGTGGCGTTAAACAACAAACAAACAAACAAACAAACATTATTCTGTAAGGCTTTGAAAAAAGAGTATAACTGTTACAATATGTGTTGGATATGGATTTCACACGATATGTCTCCAGGTGTAATTACACACAGTGTCAGGATAATGCCTGTTGTTACGGGATATGTAATACATGATGGGGCACCCTAGGCTACAGACCTCTGTGACAGTTCTATTAGTGTACGTTTCAAGTAATAATTCCTTTTCTAGCGACATGCATACTAAAATGAACACACGCGGGGCGTTAATGATGGAACAATTCCTCTGGATCTTGAGATAGCAAATGAGAAGAAAGAGTCACATTAGAAATATCAATGCCTTTGGGATATTCACCTTCGTATCTCTGACACCAGGGAAATTAGTTATATTTTGTGCGTTAAAATGTAACGTCGCTGCGGCAATACCTCAGCCACATGAAGATTCCGGGGTAGAATAGATCTTCAGCAACACATGCTTGCTGTAAAAGGTGACTATGCTTGTCGTAACAGGCGGCTAACGGGATCGGGTGGTCAGGCTTGCTGACTTGGTTGATGCATGTCATCGTATCCCAAATGCGTGGACCGATGCTCATGATGTCAATCAATGGATTATCTGGTCCAAACTCGATTATTTACAGACCGCCGTCATATAGCTGGAATATTGCTGAGTGCGGCGTTAAACAACAAACCAAACCCCAAAAATAAAACAAACAAGAATGTGTTCATCGATGGTGGTGTCTTTCATGCAGGCATCATAGGCGATATGACAAGCATACAATCAATGAGTATCTCACAACACGACGTGCACAGGACGTCTCAAGAGTCATGTGGGTCTTAATTTCACAGTACACAGTAATGAGCAGTGTGAAGCGTGAATCTTCAAGTGTATGCTTTGTTTTGATGTGGGAGCCTCCAAACTCTCAGGGTACGAGGACACAAAACCAGCAAGGTCAATTCAAGAGTTCATGGCCTACGAACTCTAGTAGAAAGCGGAAGGTCCGGGGTTCGATCCCCGACCTCGTCATACCTAAGACGTTAAAAGATGGTACTTGTTTTTACCTTGTCTGTCGCAAGTGCAATAATCTTGGACGCGGCTTTAAACCTCTTTTTACCTCACTTCACCCCATCGCCTTCGCAGAATCCACTCTGGCCACTGACTCTAATGATAGCCTCTGGGAAAACAATAAATTGGATTTCATTTCTATTGCCCGAGGTCTCCGAATGGAAAACATTTTTACATTACTGAACCCCAACCGAATTTTGCACGTAAAAATAGTTTATTTCGCCGACATTTAGGGTCAGTCGGTGATGAGAAACAATATTTCTTTGGTACTCCCAATATTTGTTATCTCCAAAAGTTCAAACGTTCTTCCGAGGACACGTTATTATTAGAAGTAGAGTTCTTTCTGAAGTACCCTAACCGAGTGACAGTTTTTAAGACTTTGATAAAGTTTGTTTTGTTCATGTAGTAGTGAATATCAAATATAAAAATGAGTCCCATAAAGCCCTAGGAAGAGATAGGATCTTGGGCCGCTTTAGGTCATCCGAAAAAAATGATTCAATGTGAAATTATCACACACAAAATGTACCTTCTTAGGGAAAAATAACTCAGTCTTGATAAGTATGTCTTAGATAAGCTGACTTCAGTAGTTTCTGAGACAACCTGTCCCCATTGCGCACACTGCACTATGTTGAAAAGCACGGAGCAAGGGCACATAACTCTGTGAAACAATAATTGACGGGACAAATTTTCAAACTCAGTCTTGACAAGTATCTCTTAGATAAGCATGCAAACTTTCATTCATATAACTTCAGGAGTTTCTGAGAAAACCTGTCCCCATTGCACACACCTTGCACTATGTTGAGAAGCACGGAGCTAGGGCCGTAACTCTGTAAAACAAATTTCTCTAACTTACATGTACATAGAGTTTTTTAGTAAATTTGTCCCCTTTGACAACCGGACGAACGAACTCCGTTCCTATGTGCCCCCACTCACTTCGTGGTGGGGGATAGAAACTAAACGTAATTTTATTGTTTTCATTTCCAAGTAACTATTATAGCCGTCAGGGGTTATTCCCCTCCTACAGTGAGTGAGTTTGGTTTTACGCCACTTTTAGCAATATTCCAGCAATATCCCGGCGGGGGACACCAGAAATTGGCTCCACACATTGTACGGGATTCGAACCCGGGTCTTTGGCGTGACGAGCGAACGCTTTAACCACTAGGCTACCCGACCGCCCCCCTCTTGCATGAACCGTTAACAGGATATATTTTATTGTTCATCAGGTAATATGAACACAGTTACGAACTGAACTCAAGATATTTGGTACTAATGATGATAGTATAAAATTAGATTGTTCCAGAAAGGAAGAAAAAACGAAGAAAACACAATGTTCCAAGGACCAATATATCGAATTTGAGCAGAGATTTAAAATCGTCTGAAGGTATCTTGCTGTTCAAACATAACTAACTACCTTTTTTATGCTAACGATTGTAACGTACACTGTGAAAGATTATAAAATTCCACGCGACAAATCTAACGAGCGACACCTGATTGTGATAAAATGTCACTCTCATAAACTCGAGAAGCCTATGGTAGTCAGGTAATTGGATCACATGTATTTTTGTTATCCTAAAAATCCGTTGTACGATTCCGACAATATCATAGTCATGTGTCCATGAATCAGTGTTAATTAATGATGATACCAGGTGTTCGCGGAAAATGCGCGTATTTTTTCCATTGGTGACACAAACACATTTTAAGGCAAGTCAAGTGTTCCACCGAACAAACATCGGAACATGATTATGGTAGAAGTCCATATATAGGGTATTTCATCAGATATAATTTCGTTAACCGATGCGAGGTCGTAGGTCGGAGGTCGTAGGTCGTAGGTCGTAGGTCGTAGGTCGTAGAAATATGACATTTTTCTAATACCCATTACCAGGGTGGTGCAAAATCAAATACTGTAATCTTGGTGAACAACGAATGGTGGCAGATCGTACCCCTACATTGGTTGTAATCATGGTGAACAAGGAATGGTGGCAGATCGTACCTCCTACATAGGCTGTAATCGTGGTGAACAACAAATGGTGGCAGATCGTACCTCCTACATAGGCTGTAATCGTGGTGAACAACGAATGGTGGCAGATCGTACCTCCTACATAGGCTGTAATCGGGGTGAACAACGAATGGTGGCAGATCGTACCCCTACATTGGTTGTAATCATGGTGAACAAGGAATGGTGGCAGATCGTACCTCCTACATAGGCTGTAATCGTGGTGAACAACAAATGGTGGCAGATCGTACCTCCTACATAGGCTGTAATCGTGGTGAACAACGAATGGTGGCAGATCGTACCTCCTACATAGGCTGTAATCGTGCTGAACAACGAATGGTGGCAGATTGTACCTCCTACATAGGCTGTAATCGGGGTGAACAACGAATGGTGGCAGATCGTACCTTCTACATAGGCTGTAATCGGGGTGAATAACAAATGGTGGCAGATCGTACCTCCTACATAGGCTGTAATCGGGGTGAACAACGAATGGTGGCATATCGTACATGTACCTCCTACATAGGCTGTAATCGGGGTGAACAAAGAATGGTGGCAGATCGTACCTTCTACATAGGCTGTAATCGGGGTGAACAACAAATGGTGGCAGATTGTACCTTCTACATAGGCTGTAATCGGGGTGAACAACGAATGGTGGCAGATCGTACCTTCTACATAGGCTGTAATCGGGGTGAACAACGAATGGTGGCTGATCGTACCCCTACATTGGTTGTAATCATGGTGAACAAGGAATGGTGGCAGATCGTACCTCCTACATAGGCTGTAATCGTGGTGAACAACGAATGGTGGCAGATCGTACCTCCTACATAGGCTGTAATCGGGGTGAACAACGAATGGTGGCAGATCGTACCTCCTACATAGGCTGTAATCGTGGTGAACAACGAATGGTGACAGATCGTACCTTCTACATAGGCTGTAATCGTTGTGAAGAACGAATGCTGGCTGATCGTACCCCTACATAGGCTGTAATCGTGGTGAACAACGAATGGTGGCAGATCGTACCTCCTACATAGGCTGTAATCGTTGTGAAGAACGAATGCTGGCTGATCGTACCCCTACATAGGCTGTAATCGTGGTGAACAACGAATGGTGGCATATCGTACATGTACCTCCTACATAGGCTGTAATCGTGGTGAACAACGAATGGTGGCAGATGCACATGTTTTCCTTTCCTTGTATTTTTAATTATTTTTGTTTTGATTTCAAAACCTCCGAGTTCAGCAAAGTGCATCGATTTTGCAACCAGATGCTGGTAATCATGTCGCTAAGGTAACACTCTATGCTACCCTTGATCTCCTTCAAAGTAGACAGTTCGAATCCTGAACTGTCTGATGTGCATGCCGAAATGATAAATTTGCAAATAATAATGTTTAGTTGCACCTTTCCTGTGTCATTAACCCTCATAGTCATACGGTCAGCGGACGTCAGTCAGCCTGCATACCGCTCAGCGCCGTACTTTGCAGACGTCGCGGTTACGAAAAACGTATCCATTGTATAAAAAAGTGTCACGTCCTTATTTCTTCACACAACGTTACAAAATTGTACGAAATAGTGTATCTTTATGATGTCTTTCGGAAAGTCTAAATGTCGTTGCAAAATGAATTTGTTTTTATTCTCATGCCATCGTTGAAAGTGTGAGTAGTCTTATTTTTCGTGCTTTTCTTACCTTTATACATTTGTGAACAAAGTTCATGTCAACTTGTCAAGTTTAGTCTTTTTCATTGTGTTTTCATTTTCATTGGCAGTTATCGATGTCATCATCGTTCACAAAGGCAAACCTGTCTATACAAAGTCCGGTTTTTGGATTCGGGTGGTCGAAAATTTCATCACACGGCAAGCCCTCTAACACTGACGCAAACCAGGACTTGGTGGTGATGATCTTGGCGCCCTAGAAACAGTTCCTGGCAACATCACAATCTAAATCTTTGAACTTCAATCTGACCATATGCAGTTTTGACAACAAAGACATGAAATGTGTTCAGAGGTTGAATTATACGAATAACTTTTCATGTCAGTCAGATCTCCGTCCGCTTTAACGAGGTCATTTACTTTGACAGGTCTCAAATGGCCAGCCATGGTTGTTTACGAACGGGGACGTAGTTTTGGTTTTTACTGTAAAATGAAAATCATGTGAAATAAATGAAAAAAAATGATAATGTGAAATCATGTTGTTGATATGAAACTATGTGTCTTGTCTTAAAAATCTCGAATCAGTGAGATTGTAGCACGTAAAACATCTGAAGGGAAAGGCGTGGATTTGTGAATGAATGGGATGAGAAAAAAATAGTTCCGTTGTCCAATGAAAATTGATCTTTGTTCCACTGACCAATCAGCTTCGAGAATCACTAATTGCACACTGTGCAAATATCAAAAAGTTATTACACTGCATATTTGAGCCCATATGGGTAATAATAATTTATAACGCACATCTACGTGCATGCATCTCGCTGTATAAGTACAATAATCCTGAACGTCATTTGGACTCACCACACAGTCAGTCAGTAAGATCCAATCTACTTCGGCCCATTCATCATTGGTTGCTACCATGTACATTATATTTATTCTCTTTGGCTAATCTATCCATATGTAGACGTGAGAACACGTGTTGGCCTGACATGCTGACAATTTCACGCACTGTGGTCACAATAGAGAAGTCATGTAACGATCCCACAGGCTGACATTTAGTTCATCCACAGTTGATCGACCCAGCCACTGCATTTAGTTTTGTCAGACCGATTCCTTACAAGCAGTGTGAACTGGAAATGGAACAGAGTCGTCACTTTTAAGTTTGTAGTGTGTTTGTTTGTACCCACTCTCACTCTGTGAGTGAGTTGAAATTAACCCCGCTTTGAGCACTCGGTATTTAAATTAAATCACGACGTTTCAGCTTAATATGGGAGGAAACCATAAGGTGATGCCTCAACCGTTATTTACAGACCAAGAGGATCGCCGGTCCTTGCTACATTTCACAATATGTAGTCTATATCAGACTCAAAGAGAAACTCACCTTCACAACTTCTATTACTCTTTGAAATCCTCCTCTTCTTTCCATGGTATATTGCCTGAGGAATGATTTCTTTTCCTTTGGCATAGATATCCAAATGATTACCCGTGAGGTATTGAATTTCGTATTTGACAAAAACATTAATTTTACATAACGTCTGGAAGGTCACATATCGGGAAAATGACACGGATAATTTTATTTTAGTGAGCAATCGATGTGAAAGATAACACAAATATTGCTTTTTCCCAAAATACGACAATATTTTATGGCAATAGTTTTATTATTAAATTTTTATGTGTGCTTTTTAATCAAGAGGAGACCAAATATGTGCTTCTGATGTGATCTTGTTTTTACCTTGAGAGCTACATTACGTTCCCACTTTTAGCTGAGCCAGATACTTTTCCTGGAAAGGTGAAATGGTTAGAACGTTGTATAATGACGGTCTAGATCATCAGTTTCCTTTGTATTTATAACTGCACTATTAAGAGTTGCATTCTTTGGAGTCGTGGCCGTTTCCTTTATTCAATTTCTTTTCAGCGTACATTGTAATTGGACTGATCACAAACTGCGACGAGTAAAGCGCATGTATAGATAAATCATGAAAGTAAGATGTTGGAGAATGCCTCGTACATTGACCTACATTCTACGGGTTCTACCAGAACAACCAAAACGAATGCACTCCCGTTAGTCAACAACTACGTGCCCTTTAGTTTTCGCCACATCAACAATTTGGCAGATATTCGTTGCGAGTGTTAGAGATGGGGAGAGCATTAAATCGCAATCTGAGTTGTACATTGTATAGGCCAATTTGTTTTTACTGGTCGCCAAGTCTGACTGCTGCATTCCAGTTTGATTGATTTTCCTGTCTCACCAGACGATTTTCTCTCGATTGTATAATTATTTGCCACTTTCAAAGGTACGTGAATCACGCCGTCAACGACACCCACCCCATCTCTGGCAAGACCTGACAGACTGAACGAAACGTTTCCTCAGTGTAACACTTGATGAATTGCTGCCCGTATGGATAGTTTCATCATTTTTCTTCTTTATTGCACAGAACCAGGCTGTGGAGCTACCGAATGTGGATGCATATGGATACATCTGCATGTAAACACATGTCCAAAAGAAATCAACAATTTAAAAAAAAAATATATAAGTGATTTATTTTATATGAAAACATACTCAAACATATCCCACGTACCAATCAAAATGTAATCGGTGGGAAAAAGCGGGAAAATTTGACAATTTGTGCAAAAAAGATGTGCACTTAGCGAAAACGATGTCAGGTGCCGTAGCAAGAAATGTACGTGTATATCTACAGTATAAAACTGCTGACCCGACATGTAAGGAACACATCACCAAAAAGCACACCAAAGAAATGACACGTATAACCGCGACAGAGAGGAAGAGAGTCGTTGGAATGGCCCAACAGGGAGCGACGCACGCCGTCATTGCAAGAACGTTTGGATGCGCCCGTGTTAACCGTTTCCATATTAATGCAAAGGTTACGTCAGACAGGACGGGAAGCGGACGATCACGGGGCACCACGCCCATTCAAGACCGCTACATCCGGAAAATTTACCTCCGAAACCGCTTCGTCACGGCGACGTTAACGGCTGCGACGGCACTGTAACACATAATCAGTCGACAAACCGTGTACAGTAGATTACGAGCCCATGGTATCAGAGCACATCGACCCTACCGAGGAGTGTTGTTGAGAGAAACAGGCCCGTGGAATCATTTTCAAGTGGCTCCGTCAAATGGCAATGGCAACGCATTCCCCCAACGTCGTCCGACGTTTGACGTCATCGGCCCGTCGATATGTTCTGATGTGCATTAATGCTCAAGGTGGACATACCCGATATCAATATGACATTATGATGAGTATCCTGACATTTTGTACACGTGCCTCGTCATGTGTTATGAATATGACTTTCATTGTTGACCCCACGCGTCTTTATGGGTCTTTTCGTCTGCATGTTAAAGTTTGATTGTAATGAATTTTTGTACACATGATGTTAAAAGATTGCTCTAATGAAATATACCAATATGACTTTTCTATATGGTTTCGCTTTTCTTCCATAACCTTTCGTTTCTTTTGGACATTAGTGTATAATGATAGCTGTCAGATCCTGAATTATCATAAAGCTTGATCATATAGCCGTTGAAGCACATATAGCTTGTGTGGACCAACATGTTCCAGAATACCCACATGTCAATACACGCGAATGCACGTACATGTAGGTCTATTGAGTATCCAAGCAGATCTCAATTTATTACATGTAACTTAGTAGCAGAAGCAAAAAAACTCTGTGAGCTACAGTCTTCAGTGTGATGTCGGGCATGAATACGTTACCTTTGGTATTCTCTCTGACGAACATCTCAGAGTGGCATTAATTTTAATTTATGTAAACAAAAAAACAACAACCACGGATTAAACGAGGAGCACTCTTTTCAATCATCCGTTGACATTTATAAGTATATATTTCAAATATTGAAACAACCAATGATAAGAAGCAATTACACCTTTTGAAATTGGATAGGTTTTAAAAAGTATAGCCAGTTTATTCTCTCAATATGTTGTTATATTCAAAGTCTTTTATCTATATATAAAAGCTGGAAAATGAACTGATGTACAGTGAAAAAGAAGATATGTATTTAAGTAAAGTTTGATTTATCTAAATTAACTAATCTTAGTAATGTCATAAGGTTGCGCCGTGGTATTAACGACAATGTAATTCAGTGATCCTTTGATACAATGCTCACGCGATTATTTTCGTATCATGAACAATATATCAAATTAAAAATGGAAAACAAACAGTTGACTGAAATGTTTAGTGATGACAACGTTCATAGAGGAGTCAGTGAATTTCAAATAAAATACCCAAGCGTTCATAAATGGCAAGTAGTAGCCTAAATACACATTTTGAATATGAACGACCTGTGAGCTTTCTTCACAAAGCATTCTAAGCGTTAAGACAATCGTCATTCCCATTCGTTAACACTAACTTAACGCTAAGGTCGCTTTGTGGAACGTGTCCCTATGTTCATCTTTAGAATTCTATTAGTGAAAATGGGCGCCTCGTCCACTTTCAAAATGAATACACTGTCCTTTGTCGACAGGTATTTAATAATAATTAACTTGCTTTCGTCGCATTACGGCTGCAATTTTGCCGATGCGATGTAATATTTTAACTCACTCACTCACTCCTGATGACTGCTGATGATATCAAGAAGCTATGTTTCCTATCTGAAGCTGGACGCTAAAATAGTACAACACTCTTCAAATCCCCATTATTTGTGATACCGATGACAAGATACCCTTAACTTATCCTCCACGATTGATTCAAAGAGACAACCGGGGTTGGGACGTCTTCCATCATCTTTTGTTTGTTTGTTGTTGTTAAATGCTGCAATAATCCACGAAGTAAATAATCTAGCCCTTTAACATACAATACAATAATTGATATTTTAAAAAATTGATATCCACACTTTTGGGGAACCACGACAAGCACGCCTATTACGGCCATCATATGTTGCTGGGGACAATTCGATCTCATTAAAATCAGATCTAAGTTCTCGCTGCCGCTAAACAAAGATCTGAGGACATCCCATTACGGGTCACGTCAGAACGACCTTTTGCGAACTTTGACCGACCACTGAAACAAGTAGTATAGTTAATCGAGTCGGCTTTGATATTTATCATATCTGAAAACACAATTAAGGCGGAAATCCCACGAATTTGTTATTGTTCCCTTCAGGGACGTCAATGACGACCAAAGGACATATAAAATCAACCTCTATGTATTTATCTTGCCTATTAGGTTCGGATAGGCTTTTGTATGTTAATTTAGTATTGAAGTAAAATGAAAGTTTCAGTAAGGGTATGGAACCTGTAGCGAACTGGCTACATTGGCAGAGGAACCGTGCTGTGCACGGGAGTGTCCGTTGGTTCAGGGCTGACATCCCACATATTCCTGGGAGTCGATCAGAATATGTCCAATTGGTTTACCAACTACAGTAAACTACGGTTATAACGAACTCAAAGGGACTACTATTTTAGTTCGTTATAACCGTAGTTCGTTATAAGCATATATACAGCATAACTACAGCAAATAGTCGGGACTAAAACGTTAGTTCGTTATATCCGTC